TCGCACCTCCCACTCGGAGTTGTTTTCCCGCCGTAGGTGAGCGATCGGGAATTGCCTCGTCGTGACTCCGCTCATTGAGATTGGCAAGGGGACAAATTGGCTTTCGGTTGCCCTTTGCTCGACCGTTTAATTATTTCACCGGGTTAGTCGCTCCAGGCCCCGTCCCCTGCTCGTCCCCACCCCCGATTTAACCGGACCCATTGATCCAGTTGAGTGGTCAGCGCGCTCGCCTCTCGCGACAAAGCCGCCCGGTTCAAATCCGGCCCACGGTTCTCTATGTCGGAATAAAATGATGACACGTTCATCCGAGCTCTGTTGAGGTGATATTCACATTGGGCGCGTGGAAAAGGCATCGAGTGACGTGGGGCTTTTTCGACACTCCGCGATGCGCGCACCCGTCGGAGCCGCTCGCGTCGAGAATCGATTCATGTTTCGCTTCGCGCACATGGCGTGCGGGCGTCACGTTTGGGAGGAATGGTGGCACCGCGGTGGTGGGGCAGAACATACGAGGCGGTGTATCGAACGGTGACCACCCGCCTCCCCCTCCCGCCCCGAATCGTGACAATTCATCAAATCGCCGGAAAGCCGAGCGGCCACGCGGCTGCATGCTGATGCGTGCGAAGGACAAGGCCGATGATGGAATGGCAGCCAAATGGGGAGGGAGGGGAACGCGGCACCCAACGAAGACGGCCACCGTGGAGGTGAAACGATGCGGGCAGCCGGCGCGCACGGAGTGAGATGGATCGCGGCATCGCACCACCGTGAAGGGTGGTGGCCGCGTGGGGAGCCATTTATCCAGCAGTGGATAGACCACGGCTCATGATGGTGATGAATTATGAGGCTATCAATAACGACTTTGGTGGGGTTAGATTTAGTGTCGCTTTAACGATTCGCTACAGAAGTTAGCAGTGCTCACTACCGTACTTTTTCATCATCATCAGTCATGGTCTAGCCACTGCTAAATGAAGACTTCCCGACACTGTCGCCTATCCCTTATGGTCCCACTATTCCACGATCTCTCTATCTCACTCCTGCACGCGAGAGATGCTTTCATCACAGTGGTCTTACTCTGCGTTGTCTGCCACGCCTCCCATTCCTTGACCATGGACCCTTGTTTTTTTCACCAGTATCAAAGTATGAAAATATAAGAACGGGTTTTACCCTTTTCTGGCAATGAAATAGGATGTGTTCAGTTGTTCAAACACCAAACAGATACCTCAAGTCTGCATTAACCACACATCGTGGTGAACAGGCCATAAAAAAGGCTCTCTCTCTGGTGTAGGCCAATCAGTTTTGAAGACAATGCAAGTATATTATCAGAGCATATTTGTTTGCATGTTCACCACAAGTAACGTGTCGTCAATGCAGACTTCATTCCTTGCAAAAGGCATTTATTTGGTGCTTGAACATCTGAACACATCCTGTTTCATTGCCAGAAAAAGGTACAACCCGTTCCGATTTTTCTCGTCATTTGTGGCCCTCTACGTTGTCCGCAATTGGCAGAGTGAACGACGGTGGCCTTCTGGAATGCATCTCCCGTGAAAGTGAGCGGCACTCCACGTCGACTTTGCTACGCGGGATTTCTTCACTTTGCCCGTGTCCCACACCTCGTGTTGAGCCATCACGGTTGCTTAGCGGAGGCCTCAAAAGCCAAGCGGCCAGCAAACACACAGCAGCACTGTTGAGGTTATAATAGATACTTTGTGTTTACCTCTGACCTACGGCGTTTTGAGATGATCCATTTTTGACAGGCGCTTTATAAAACTGTGTTCATTATAACTACGAGAGTTGATACGCTCCTTAAATTGCGTGAGGTTGCAAGAACTCGGGGCAAAGGGAGACGATGGAAAGGGGATTCCGAAGGAGTCGAGCAGTGAGAGCAAAGATGCACAAAGAGAAGTGTTCTGGCCTGCAGTGCGGTGGTGGCTGAACCCGGTGTGGGTCAGACGACACAGCCAGTCTGGTAGGCCGAGCCCTCTGCACGGGCGGATGAATCAACGAATGATGTTCACGGGAACGCTGACCATGGGAGAAGTGACTGGAGAGCGATCGGGAGGTCGATGTTGGCCGGTGAGCGATTGACTGGTGGAGTAGATCAGCGAGTGGTGGCTCATGATCGAAGCCGGTTGTGTTGCGTCGAATTTTGAAATCAAGAATTCTCGCCGGTTGTTTTTCATTTGCTCGACGGTTTTAAACGTCTCATTGAGTCCACCTTAGTTCCCTACTTCCTCATTCACGACGTAGCGTGGATGATAGCACGTCCCAAAAAATGAGGTCGTCAACCTTCTTTATTTTTATTTTCCCTCCCTCTCTCCTTCCCACCGTTTCTCCCTCCCTCCTCCGTTAAAATTGCCGTGATTTTATCGGTCTGCCATACCGAGCCGTAACGGTGTTCCCAAAGAATTAGAAAATGTGCGTTTGTATCGTGCCTCGAATGCAGATAAGCCACTCTTGTTTTGGTTTCCCGGTCTGATTTAAAAGAGAAAAAAAACGCTCGGCCGTGTTCGTGAAATGACGACGACGACATTTTAATCACGAGCGGAATTTTACAAAGCGGCCCTTTGTTGTTGTACGAAGAATTTTCAGCTTTTAACGAAAATACATTTGCATCGGAAGGATGTGGCTCCTCAGTGGAGCTTCTCTGAAAAAAGCTGAGGCTATTTATGCCCCTCCCATATAGCCATACGGTCTTTTGGAACAATTTAAGTTCGTTAGCGAGCACCTACTGAGGCCGACACGGTGTGGCCAGGGGCTGACGTTTGATTACACGTCGCACCAGGTAATAATTTAAGTCTGATTCAACCTAGGGAAGGCTCAGGATGGGCTCAGGTGCCACGTGTTGCCGATGTTGACCGCGGCTGGGAATCTAACTCGCGTGGCTGCACAACGAGAGAAGCGTGCGCGTTGTGCCCCCACTAAGCACAGAAATTGTGCTCAGTGGGGGCGCATCGATGCGTTTTTCTTCATTTAATATCGATCTTTAAGCTCCACTATACACACTTCGAATCGCGTGCTCTACGAATATATGTACTGTATGTTGAAGTTATTTCGCACCGTACGTAGCCCACCGTGCCAATTGGAGATGCGAAAGCTTTTTTTGTTTCGTTTGTGTTTTACGCGCCTGTGATCAAATCATCCAGAATGCACTCGATCTCATATGCTAAGCAGGTTGGAGCCTGCATAGTGCTTGGGTGGGGTGACCACCATGCACAAATAGGTTATTACAGGCTCGAGTGCTATGTCATGGACAGCACAGAGCAGTACAGAGAAATCCATTGTTGTTCTGTGCTTCTATGCTCCCTACCGTGACCAAATCTGCACCGAACAGCGTGGCGAAAGTAATGGCAAAAACAGCCTCCACGGCCCGCATAGTTCAGGGAGGCCATCATCCAGCAGTGGATTGACAAAGGGCTGCTTGTACGTGCCCGCGTCTTGTATATCATTGGTTCACATCGCCCCTGCAGCCACTAGAGGCGCTACTATTCACCATGGTGTAAAAAAAATTTCTTAATAACAACCATGGCCTTTAAATCATTCATCTAAGCACGAGGGGTGGCAGGGGTGAATTTCTGTGTTCCCACTCAACTGCGTGCCTCTCCATCCACTCACCGTTTCCCCGCTACCCAACGTCGCAAAATTCAGAACAAATGTAGAGCGTTTTAAGTTGATGTCTTTTTGCCTTTTGAGTCTCGAGAAAATTACTGACGCGTGAATCCCGGTTTCTTTTTTTAAAATTCGTTTCTGGGCACCGCTCCACGAACGTGCCTTTGCCGTTAGTTTGAGCCGAAGAACCTAACGTCCTTAACGCATAAGGGACGGTGTAGAACGCTGCCATGATATGCCTCTGCGCCGTGCCAAAATTCACACACATGTTTGTTTTAATATATATGTACATACATATATATGTACATAGATATATATGGAACAAAGACAAAGATCCCCAGTGTAGCCTTCTTAGACTGATGGAGAAAAAGGTGGCTGGGGCAGGTGGTGTGGCTGTACAGTCACATTTGGTTGCATCCCACTATCAGCCTTAATAGGCGCTTGCTAACAGTCTACATTTGCAGAGCCCTGCGCATTAAAAAGCGTTGTATTCGTCTTGTGTGCTTTTCTGTGGTCGACTGAAACGCTATTCCTTCCGATGTTAGGAAGCCGCTGGAGCGATGCCCTTTTAAATCATCTTGATTGAAAACGAATTTCTTTAGAACTGCTTCTTGTGATTAGTTGTCCCTCCCCCGATTGACTGACAACCTGAGGATGACTGACAACCTGAGGATGACTGACAACCTGAGGATGACTGACAACCTGAGGATGACTGACAGCTTTAGAATGACTGACAACCTGAGGATGACTGACAGCCTGAGGATCCTTAATTCCGTAGTCAATTGACAAAGGACAGGCAATACAAAATAATTATAATAATTGGAGATATGGTTAAGCTGTTTCCTGCTCAAATGAGCATTGAGGCAGTGCTTATTTCCTGCTTGCAGTCCTGACTTCCCCAGAATGTGGTACTTAATTTATTGGCGATGGAGGCATGATGGGCCCAGTCAAGCCGTATCCGGGCTGCTCACTCTATCACTGAGCTCCCTGGATGACAATGTTCGGCTAACATGATACTGCTTCTTAGCGTTGCGATGTCTTCATGCTTACAAAACACGACTTTATGGCAGACATTTAATGGAGAAAAATTGATTTATTGAGTTAGAATCATCGAACTGTAGCCTTCCATATCAGGTTTAAACTCTCTTTTAATATATAAATAAACATGTTTTGAGGATGGATTCTTCTAAAAATAGTGGAAATGAATGCCATACATTTTAGACGTGCAGTATCATTACTGTATTAAGTTAAGCGTAGCTAAATTCATATATTGCTCTATTCCGTGGGCAGAGTGCTGGCACGGCGCTAAACGCACAGCACTATGAATCTGACAACCCGGGTTCGATTCCCTCCGACAGTTCACGCGATTGGTGAGCCACGTCTAAATCGGGACGTACCTCGCCAAACACGAACAGCTTCCCATGGCGAGCACTGCACGGCACGGGGTGGGCCTTGATCCTGCGGCGCGTTGACGAAGCTCTGTACGAATATGCGGCGAATAGGCGGGTTCGTGCAATTAACGGGGTTTCATGATTGTTGGCCCAAATGACACGCGTTGCCTTCTCTGCGGCAACGCACGCTGACACGCGGGTGGCCTTTGCGTAACTTCCCAACCCGAAATAACGAGCGCGAGCACGCTCACCACGTCGCCATGGAGAGAGCTCAACAAACAAAGGGGGAAATGAGTCCGAAGCAATCGCGCGACCGTGGTCCTCGCGAGCGGCACAAATTAAGAGACAAAGCAATCTTGGACCGGGCTTTTCAATTCCTCGACGATGATGAACAATGATTAATTGTGGATTTAATTTTTGGCCGAGGCCGTCGCGGCTCGGCAAGCCGGAATGTATTTCTCCCACCCGGCATACCGCATCCAGTATACCCGTGGCTACTAGTAACCCGCAAACTAATTAGAAAGAAAATCTGCTCCTGGATAAATCCCACTCGGAGTTAAAACGACGATGCCTGATAATCACTTTTAGCATCTTCCTGCATGGGGGCCCAATGAGATGCGCACGCATCCAATTTTAGACGCGGATCCTGTTGGCTTCTCACTGTTGTCATTAGGAAGCAGCTTCGTCGAGTCAATGCAGATTCGTAGAGGTCCCCGTTTAATTGAATGGCACCGCGGTGGCGAGATGTTAACTCCATCGCCTGGTATACAGGAGGTCGTGGGTTCGATCCTGACCCTGACGCCTGCTGTATATTTGGAGTTTGTATGTATTTCCCTCCACATTTAGAAACGTGCTTTCAGAGTATTTGGCTGCTATACATTTCCACATGATGAGCCACTTCTTTGGGCTATCGTTTGTGACAGCCAGGTTACTTCTCAAAAAGAGCTACATAGCTCAGTGAGCCTTACCTGGTAAAATAAAAATTTAAATTTTTATTGAGTTTCATTTCACTTCACTGACAGCGGGAGACAAATTTTTGATGTTTTGGCCAACTGGCTTCCAGGATATGAGATTTTTTTTTAAATAATACAAAGACTTCCTCCCACTGTTATCCCGGTTGTGCTCTCGGTGTCACGCGAGCAGATGAAGTGTGCATTCGTTATTCTCACGGGGCAGTGCAACCGATTTGTGTCCGAGGATGGATATCACAGAGCTACCTCTGAGATCCCTCCGAGTGACCTCTTAGATTATAAAGATCATCGCACGACAGTCAAACTGACATTTCTTAATTCTCAACAACAACAACAACAAAAAGCGCACAACACATTCGTCAATAACACCGTGGCCTTCAAAGATAAAATATGTATCATCGGCGACGCTTGAGATAACGGTTAAATTATGTTAATATACAGGGCAGCCAATGTTTGACAATGGGCGGGCTAACAGGCAAACATTTCCACCAATGGGCTATTTAGATCCACGAATCGTGCAATAAAGAATCACCGTACTGATTTGGAAGATCGCCTCTGCTCGATCACGTAGGCACACGAATTAAAGATCGCCGTAGCTCGAACCGCTGCTCGATCAACCCCTCGTTGTGTTTGTGCACCACGGCCAACGTCAGCCTGACCAAATCATGTTTTAATAAATGTCTCCATTCTCAGAGCAATTATCGCCACGGCATGGGGACAGCCTAATCCAGCAACGGATTGACAAAAGGCTTGTCGTATATGGTTATCTATTGCATAGATCGCTCTCGCGGCAAACTTAGCCCGTTTAGCGGCGCGCATCGCTGTATTTCTTTTACCGAACGTCCTCCGTCTCCTAGAGCAAAGCAGCTGGCTTTCATTTAAATAAATAATGAACGAACACATCCAGCGAGGGATTAACGTGACGGCGTGCAAATATCCTCCTTGTGAGGGAGGCGAGCAAAACGTGGGGCTCTCTGATGGCTGAGAGCGGCCAGGGGAACGATTGGAACCGGCTACGGGGGTGGTCCCCGCTACAATACCGTTGCAACGCTTCTCCTACCAATGTCACGCCGGACGGAATTGGATTTTTTTCCCCGAGCAGTTGAATGAAATATAACGTTGAGAAATGAATATTGCCCCCCCGACCCAAACACCCCCCCCCTCCCCCCGTACTGCGGGTCTGGGAGGGCCCTAACGGGGACTGCCCGCATGACCGTCCCCTGCTCAGCCGTCGCATGGTTTGTGTTTGCACTCAATTCTAGCGCTGCAGGGTTCCCTCAAAGAGCCGCTCAGTTGTTGTGTTTAGTTTGATGTCCCCCCCCCCTCCCCAGCACCTCCGATTAGCACGGTTGGCTTCGTACGGCGTGAATGAAGTTCAACGTACGTATGTACAAATGAGAGATGATGGGAGGCGTGCGTGCCCGGCCGGTCAGGAAAAGCGTGGTCGCTGGGTGCCATGCGCGAGGGGCCTCCGCTGATGGATGGCTCTCGTTGACCAGGGCTACTGTTGGCAAAGGAGAAAGGTAAAGTCACGGCGCCGCAGTTGCCTTCTCACGGCACTGCTCGTAGAAAAAAAAAACATGGTTTCCGCTAAAGGGAGGTCTTTAGAGCCCATCTAGAGGGCATTTTTCGGCTAGCTTTTCCACGTTGACTCGGCTTACTTTGTCTGTGTGTACGTTGAACTTCCTTCGCAGCGCACGTAGCCAACCGTGCTAATTGGAGGTGCGGGGAAAGGACAACAAAACATTGTGAAAGAGGTGGGAGTGCCCACGCTTTATCCCACCGCACACGACCTGCCGATCGACTTAACTGTGCCGTGGTACTCTGTCACACAGCTGGGAGGACAGAGGCGCTGGAGCCCCACGGTGGCGAGATGTTAACTACCTTGCCTGGTATACAGCGGTTTGCGGTGTTCTCCCCGTGGTTGCCGGGATTCTTCTCCGGGTCCTCCGCTTTTTTGCCCTCTACATTTCGAATCAATTTGCATTTCGAGTGTTTGGCCGCTGCTCTACGTTTCCACGCGACAAGCCACTTCGTTGGGCGATCGTGTGCGGCCAGGTCGCTTCCGAAGAAGAGCTGTGTAGCCCAGTTGGGCCTTACCTGGTAAAATAAAAAAAATCGTAAGAACAAAAATAGGTGTGGAGTTAAGAGACTCGTGTTTCGACTGCCATGCTGGGAGATCGAACCGAACTGGCGGACTCTGGATCGCGTGCACGTTACACCGTGGCAGCAAACCGTGACTGTTGATCGGGTTATTAAGCAGGAGCTCGTTGCGGGATTGACAGCAGCTTTCCATCCTCGCCTCTCCCATCTCGCTGGCTCTCGCGCTCTATCGGACGCCAGCGAGAGTGCGAGGGGGACTCGCACCTGGGCCCCCTTCCGCTGTCAGCCCCTTTGGCAAACGGCCTCTCGGCGGGTGGAAATAATCCTCCCCGAGATGTCGCGGGGCTGGCGTGATAAATTTGTGGCTTTTTTTGGCACAAAAAGGTTGGGGGATGTTTTTGGCCTCGGCAGCGCTGTTCCCCTGGCAATGGCGCTCATTTCGTTGTGGGAGGTATCTGGGACGCGAACGGGCGAATGTACGAACCACTGGAGCGCCCCTTGATGCGACCTTCCTATTGGGGTCAGGATGCTTTCATTTCTTTTAAAACAAGGCAGCCGCGCGGGTGAGCGAGCGACGTTCCTCCCGCCCCTGCGTCTCGGCGCATGCGGCGTGCAACGATGCGTCGATTCTTTACGCGCCCGTCGAATCGCGCCTTTCCCCGACGGTCGATCGTTTCTGTGTTTTGTGAGTTGCGTACAAATTGGCGATGTTGCCACGAGCGGCGTAACAACAGTCAGCTCGCTGGCCTCTGCAATCTGCCGGTTTCATTCCACCTCTCTCGGCGCGGCGGTTACAACAATGGTGCAACTTTTCTTAAATCCCCCCCCCCCCCCCCCGTTCATGTTTGTTCACCCAGCAGTACGCCTTATACATCTTCACAAGAGTGAGTGCATCGGTAGCTCGCACGTGGGCTCTGACATCTTCCAAGACGTGTGGCGAGCGTGGAACAGAAGGCCTCGAGAGGGGTCCCTCTAGAGGCCTCTCTCTCGCTGGCGGGTCCTTCCGCCAGCAGTGGCACGAGCAGGACGTTGCAGGGCCGCGCCTTTACCTCTCCGTCTTCCGCACGCAAAGCGTAAACGCTGACGCTCAGCTGCCGAGATCGAGGAGACGGGGCACGTCGTTCAGGGCCATTTTGCTCACGGGTAATCGATGTGTTGGTTGTTATGGTTTAAGTTGTTCAGCCAACAGCGGGGGCTCAAGCACTGAGCTAGCGAAGGCCCTCCACAGCTCAGCGTGCACTTGCGTTGGGTTTTATTTTACTATTCGCTGGCTCCCGCACGAAGCATCGTGTGAGATAATAACATTCAGGAGCATGATCACATTAGCGTCGCCCGTGAATTAATTTCGTGCGTTTTTTTTGTCTTGAAACGAAGCAATGTTGTTAAAGCGCAGGTAAAATGGGGCCCTCCGTGTAACTGTCGCGAAAATCATTACGTGTTCATCACCCACGGGGTTAGGATTTCCAAGTCTGGCGGAGCAGCCAAGAGAAAATAAAGTTTAGCGAGGGTGAAATAGTTTGATGACCTTTGAAATTGGCGAGCGGGTAGGAAGAAACCGCATTTAGAACGGTCGCGTCCGGCCCTGTTACCAACCCCGCCTTCAATCGCAGCCCTGAAAGACGACATCACAAAACCACTTCTGAACCCCCCCCCCCCCTCGATGGCTCTCGCTACCTTCACTCGCAGCGTTTCTTTTTTTATATACATCGCGTGCAATGACTGTCCGTCGCTTGTCAGTCAAAGCAACATTTTTAATTATCATAACTGGTATAAGTTGAATTAAGTGAGGGGAGGGGGGGAGGTCGAGACAAATGAACGCGATGGCTGATACCATCAACTGATACCGTCAACTCTCTACTGCGCCCGGTTTAATCGTGGGCGACTTCCCAGATTTGAACGCCGGATCTCGGCTGTGCCGGCTCAGGCTATGACGTGGACGTTCGGCCGCACGTCCCTGGTATCAAGCCCCTCTCCCCCACCCGAACCACCTGGTCACCTCGAAGATTTATCACA